AAAAGAGAATATTGAAGAAGTTTAAGGGTTTATTTGTAAAACATTGGAATATCTTATTTAAGCCCACGTTATGAATGAACAAATTGGGTTTTCGATAATTTTTGCTTTATAGTATCAGAGCTAACCTGAGCTATCTCGAAGAGAAGGGCTTCGGCATATAGAGACTCGCATCTGTCAGAGATCATGATGAACAGAGACTCGCAAGCTCACGGGATCTTTGTAGCATCACAAAATAGACGCTGCTTGGAGTTTCTGGGGAAGCAGTGTGGGACACACAAGATACAATTGCGATTGAGGGATGTGATACAGTCGCAATCAGAGGCGCTGAGAGGGGCGCAATACAGTCGCGATCAGAGGCAATAAGAGGGATGCGATACAGTCACGATTAAAGGCGTTGAGAAGGCAGCAGAAGATTGTAGCTTCCAGAGACCCGTAACTCTCATTCTTCTGCTTCAAGTTCTTCATGGCTGATTCAAGCAGAGCTGGCAGAGAGACCATGTCTTGCTCACATATGTGATAGCAGCTTAAAAACACAAATGAACAAATTCAGGTTTGATTTGTGCGATCTAGACTTAGATCCTTATGATTGAGGAATTGAAGAGACCAACATATTGTGGGAGGAAAAGAATTTGAGCTTCTACGAAAAATAGATCTTGAGGTTTTGAAGGTCTTGGTCGGGTTTATATAGGGTGCTAGCATCTCGACGGGAGCCCACGATCTCAACATGTACTATGAAGAAGGTAAAGCTAGATCTCCCTCCCGTGATTCTGAAGATTGATGGACAGGCCATGTATCTGAGTTGGTCGCGTCAGATCGAGACTACTCTGGTAAGGAAGAGACTAGAGGGATATCTAACGAAAGTAAAAACTGAGCCAGAGGGTGACAATGCTGAAGGGGATGAGTGGAAGACCACATATATCTTACTTTATATAGTATTTTTATACACATTTTTATACCTATTTTTGAGATATTATATTTTAATGAAAGATAATTGTGTGTTTTTCTTTTAGATATAATTAAATGGATGAAAAATGCTAAAAGTAATAAAAAAATGTCAAATTTGGAACAAAAATGAAGAAAGGTGCAAAAATGAACTGGGGCGTCTAAGCGCCCAAGACAGACGCATAAGCACCAGGTACCCCGCGCTTAAGCGCCAAAAGTAGTTATGAGATGAATTACTTAATTTGAACAAATTTTTGAAGACGGATTTTTGAAGAGGTGTTTGAAACAACTCTCGGTAAAAATGTGAAAAATAGCGCATGAACACGAAAATTCATTCATTTGGCTTTTGAGGAAGCAACTTTTAAAAGACTCGTTGAATGGAGACACCTTTCTGAAGAGACATCAAGACACCCCTTGGATTTTTATAAGAAAAGACTTAGATTTTCAAAGAGAGGAGGTCAACCACTCATCAACTTTACAACCATCATCCATCTAAGTCGCTACCGCAACCGACCACTTTTCTTTTTATTTTAAGTTTTAGTTTTTATTGTGAGTGAAAAGAATTCAAAGGAATTTCAAGACATTTTGTGTAGATGATTTGAGATAAGTGTTTATCTTTGTGACTACACTTGGTTTTAATTTAGATTTCTTGTTTGTGTGCATCATTTCTACTTTTAAACTCATGCTACTTTTAAACTCATGTGCTACTTTTAAACTCATGTGTGGGTGTGTTTTCTTTATGAATTCTGAATAGTTTTCTTTATCTTTTTCCTTAAAATGATAAATGATTAAGTGTTAAAAGAATGTTGTGTGAAGCATTATGCTTCAATGTTGGAAGAAGTTGTGATGATTTAAAATCTTGCACTTCATTTACTTTTTGATTTGGCCAATTAAAATGTTAATACCTGTTGTGAGAACCTGTTGTTGTTGTGAGAATATGTAAGATCCGAGAATGTATTGTCTCAATCAACAAATGGTTAGAATCACATATTGATTTTGGATGAGAATGTAGCTCATGGGGTTAAGTGCAAATAAATAAGGAAATAAAATTTCATGGTGTAGAATTAGAGGACTTTAAAGCGACAGGCTAAAGCCCCCAATTTGATTTATAGTTTTAGGTTTTGATACGAGATGTTGGCCCCCATGTGAGGGGAGAAGAGGAAATTCTAGAGTGAGAGCTAGCATCTTCCCTGCCTAGCCCGTTTTCAGGACTATTCACCCTCAGGCTTTGGCCTTTCAGGCTTCAGCATTTTCAGACTTCGACACTCTCGGGCTTCGACTCTCGTGGGCTTCAACAGTCTCAGGTTTCGGTCTTTCGGGCTTCGGCATTTTCAAGCTTCGATATTTTTGGGCTTCGACACTTTCAGGCTTTGGCACTATCGGGCTGCTACACTTTTATGCTTCAGTCCTATTGGGCTTCAACACTCTCAGGCTTCAGCCTTTAGGGCTTCGACACTTTCAGACTTCAATATTTTTGGGCTTCGGCACTTTTGGGCTTCGACTTTTTTATGCTTCGACATTTTTAAGGCTTCGACACTTACGGCTTGAGGATTTTTTGTCTCGACAATGTTATCAGCTCCTTGTTGGCAAATTGATGCTTCCTGATCAGTCAGCATCAATTTGAGGGGGGGTGTTAATCAGAAAGGATGGAAATCAGACAATTAAATTAAGAGTTTTCTATAATTAGAAGCTTGCTTATTTCCAATATCTTTATTATGATATATTTTCCTTTTAGCTGAATATTTAGATTAGGAATATGTATTATTAAGTCACCTAAAATAGATTATATGTACTTTATTTTGTACCTAAAATAGATTGTAAGATTGTTATTTAATGGAATGAAAGCAAAGGAAAAAGACAATCGAGCCTATTCAGTATTCAGCCTATTTTTCTCAAAACTTTGACAATATGATTCCTCGTCCTTCTCCTAACCCCACAACTTTAAGGAGAACATCTTGTAGCGATGTGGAATATCCTCCAAATTATTGTGGGTGAAAACACGACATTGCTAACTTTATTTCATATTCTAGCATATTGCTTTTATATGGAGCATGCTTTTATCTTTAGACACTGTCTCTATATCCAAGTGTTAACAGATTGTTTAGGAGGATTCCATATGAAAATTGGCCATGCATGAAGAGCTTAGGGATCTCAATGAAAACCAAGCATGGGAGATAGTGCCAGTAACAACCAAGAAAAGGGAGTTGGGTGCAAGTAAATCTTCACAGTTAAAGAAACTTTAGAAGAGAAGATGGAGCGATACAAAACATGACTAGGGGCGAAAAAGTACAGTAAAACATTGACTATGATGAGACATGACTAGAGGCGAAAAAGTACAATCAAACATATGACATTGACTATGATGAAACATTGCACCAATGACAAAGATGTGCACAATGAGGACACTGATTTCTCTGACAGTGAATGGTGAGTGGAGGTTACACCAACTTAATGTGAAAAATATATTTTTTCATGGTGAGTTACTGAAGGAGGTTTATACAGAGATATTGTCAGAATTAAGTACAATCCAGAAAGTAGGCAAGGTGTGTAAGCTCAAAAAGTCATTGCATTGCTTGAAGCAGTCTCTTAAAGCTTGGTTTGAGAAGTTTAGAAAGACTATGGAGGGCATGAGATATCAGCAGATCAATGCAGACTATACGGTGTTCTTTCGATAACATGATGGTCACATCACTATCCTTGCTATGTATGTTGATGACATTATTGTTACTGGTGATGAAGATGCAGAAATTACCCAACTAATGGTAAAATTAAGCAATGAATTTGAGGTGAAAGATCTTCGACAACTCAAATACTTTCTTGTGATTGAAGTGACGTGTGGACTAGAAGGGATGATCTTGATACAGAGATTATATACTAGATCTCCTCATGGAAACAAGCATATTGGGGTGCAAACCTGCAGGACCAGAAGACTAAACTGAGTGCAGAGGCAGGAGAGCCCGTTGATCGTGAGAGGTACCAGAGATTGGTGGGTCGTCTGATCTATCTGTGTCACACTCGACCCGATATGTCTTTTGCAGTGAGCGTGGTGAGCCGCTACATGCATGATCCAAAAAAAGTTTATATGGATGTGGTGAATCAGATTTAGAGGTACCTGAAGAGTATACCAGACAAGGGGTTGATATTAATAAAGAATAGAAATACAAACATTGAGGGTTTTTGTGAAGCTGACTGGGCAAGTTGCGCAGATGACAGAAGATCCACCTCAAGATACTGCATGTTTGTAGGGGCAACTTGGTCTCTTAGAAGAGCAAGATATAGTCTGTAGTAGCAAGGCCAACGACAAAGGCAGAGTACAGGGCCATGACTTGCTGAGATGGTGTGGCTGAGAGCCTTTTTAATCGAGCTCAAGGTGGATCAAGGAACTCAAATGAAATTATGATGCGACAACAAGTCAGCAATCAACATTGCCAACAACTCGATACACGATAGAATCAAACATGTGGAGATTGATAGATTCTTCATCAAGGAAATGCTGAATGTTAGGCTAATAGAGCTAAATCATGTAGCCACTGGAGAGCAAGTGGTAGACTGCCTAACTGAAGGGTTTAGTTCATTAGATTTGTCTAAGTTATGTGACAAGATGGGCTTAGTGGATATATTCTGCCCATCTTGATGGGGAGTGTTGAGAATTGAACCTTATTTAGGGTCGTATTGGTAATAAGAGAATATTGAAAAAGTTTAGAGGCTTATTTGTAAAATGTTGTAATACCCAATTTATGCCCATGCTATGAATGAACAGGCTAGGTTTTGTACAATTATTTATTTAACATAAGATCAGAAGGCTTCTCAAACAAGCTAGTAGCAGGTCAAACCAAATCAAGTGATGGAAAACAATAATGGAAGAATGAAAAAGTTTTAAATCAACCTATTCATATACTAAAAATGTTTCAATTTGATAAGGTTTTACAGGGTTACATAAACTTGAATTGTAATAAAACTACTTAATCATAGGTACTGCAAAGGATGGTTTGAAAGGGCAATCCTTGGAAAAAAAGAAGATTATGCTGTAAATAAAAATATATATCCAAATAACATACCGACAGGTAAAAAAGTGAAATCTGATAGTCGTTTCTCAATAGAGCGAATCATCTTGTCTCTGCCTCTTTTGAGAAATGTGCCAGAACTAGTTCGAACCCTGCATAAAATGATAAAATAAGAAACTCTCCAATAAAGTCACAAAATTGAAGACGAAAGGCCAAAATAGTAATCCACAAACCTGCTATCCTTGCTGTGGCCAGTTGCGCTGTCAACAACAGTTGACTTCTCCATATTAGGCTTTGCCAATTCAATTAAGTAGTTGCATTCCTCATTAGACTAGCCAAGAAAAATAGTCAAAATCATTTCAAAGGAAGTAGTCCATTGGATATCATCAACAATATCTAATACTACGTTAGGAGTATAATCAGCTTCTACAGGAGATACACTCATAGTTCGCCACTTAAACAGAAAGGTGGAGCTTAAAGTGGCAATGCTTATTGAAAAGTAGATGAAAACCTCCATACAGATTTAAAAGTCCTCAGATGGATATTACTAAGAGAACATGGTAAACAGTTTTAAAGAGGGAAATGATTAATTTTATAATTATTCCTTACACTAGTTCAAACCTATTCAACATCCACGATGTCATTTAAGTCATCGGGTTGACTTTTAAGACACTTTGTTAAAGACAACCTCGTCAAATTAGGTGACTTCTATCCCTATGACTGCTTCATTAAACTAAAGTCTATAGAAATTTCGAAGGTTTATAAATACTATGAAGCAACAATGACTAATGTTTCAAAAGGTTAAGCTTTCCCCGTGGAGTGTTGCTGTGCTGCATAAAAAGTAACAGAAAAAGCAAAATGGGACGTGTTAGGTGTCAAAGTTTTGAGAAAAAATAGGTTGAAATCTGAATAGGCTCGATGCCTTTTCCCTTTGCTTTCATTCCATTAAATAATAATCTTACAATCTATTTTAGGTACAAAATATTTTGTATAATCTATTTTAGGTAACTTAATAATACATATTCCTAATCTAAATATTTAGCTAAAAGGGAAATAAATCATAATAAAGATATTGGAAATAATTTAAATAAGGAAGCTCCTAATTTAGCTGCCTAATTTCTGTCCTTCTTGATTGACACCCCCCTCAAATTGATGTTAACTGATTAGGAAGCATCAATTTACAAACAAGAAACTGATAACACTGCCGGAACTAAAAAATCCTTAAGCCGTGAGTGCCGAAGCCGAGAACAAAGAAAAACAAAAAATCCTTCATCATTGTCGTCCAGAAATTCGAATCATAGCCACAAGAAGGATCCTCTTCCAGTTACACGATCCAAATGCTATCAATCATAGTCCACAAATAGGATCCAATTACACAATTCAAATGCTATCGATCATAGACTACAAGTAGGATCCGCGTCCTGATCCAAATGCTACCAATCATAGCACAAAAATAAGATCCAGTTACAAGATCCAAATGCTATCGATCATAGCCTAAAAGTAGGATCAGCGTTCTGATCCAAATGCTACCGATCATAGCTCACAAATAGGATCTAATTACACGATCCAGATGCTATCGATCATAGTCTCAAGTAGAATCTACGTCCTGATCCAAATGCTACTGATCATAGCTCATAAAAAAAATCTAATTACACGATCCAGATGATATCGATCATAGTCTCAAGTAGGATCCGCGTCATGATCCAAATGCTACTGATCATAGCCCATAAGTAGGATCTGCGTTCTGTTATACGATCCAAATGCTATTGATTCTTCCTGCAATGACGAGGACGATTTGTTCCTTGATCTTCACGCCAAAAGTGCTGAAGCCGAGATGGCGAAGCCGTGGGTCTAGAAATGAGAGTTGAAGCCTTCAATCCTTGAGTGCGACGAAGAAATCAAAGTCGAAGTTGACAAAGCTGAAGTGAAAGTGCAGAAGATCTAAAGTTGTTGCGAAAGAGATCGCTCCTAAGAAAAAAAAAAGCAAAAGCTTCCTTTTTTTTAACGAGTGGGAAACACTTCAGTTCGATTTCATGGAAAGAATCTTCGTTCGCATAGATCAGCAATAGAGCAAAAATATATGAGAAGGAAAAGAAAATAGGGAAAAGAAGCTACAGAATAACGCGACAGTACAAGTTCAAGGAAACAACTTTCCTATAAACGTCAACAAAAAGGCCCAGCCACAGCATGCTTCCGCTACAAATGCACTGAATACCAGAAAAAAAAAATTCTATTCTCACCTCCAAACATGAGGAAACCAGCCAAAAAGATCAAATCTTGAATGCAAAACTCGAAGCCTTTTGAAGGAAAAATAGATCGGATGAGAAGATCGAGTGCGTCGTGGGAATCTTACTAGAATTCACAAACTCAAAATAGAGAAAACTAGGGAGGCTAGGAGGAAACAAAAAACCTAAACCACTGTCCAGCGAAGCGGACGAAGCCGAAGATCTTGGGTTTGCCAAAGTTTGAACGAAGGAGAGGCTCCGTCGAGGCTGGTTGAGTCGAACAGAAAGATGAAGTAGAACGAATACGACGTAGGCGAAGAAATAATGAGACGACGAGCAGACGAGCGAGAATCAAGACAAAGAAATAGTTCCTCCCTTCCAGTCCCGCAAGAGGCCAGCGGAAAGAGAGTTTTGGCGGTTCTTTAACGATTATCGATTGTTAGAGCAAAAATTTGGCACTGAAACCATCTCAAAGTTTTGAGAAAAAATAGGCAGAAATCTGAATAGGCTTGATGTCTTTTCCCTTTGATCTCATTCTATTAAATAATAATCATACAATCTATTTTAGGTACAAAATATTCTATATAATCTATTTTAGGTACAAAATATTCTATATAATCTATTTTAGGTACAAAATATTCTATATAATCTATTTTAGGTAATTTAATAATACATATTCCTAATCTAAATATTAAGCTAAAAAAGAAATAAATCATAATAAAGATATTATAAATAATTTAAATAAGGAAGCTCCTAATTATAGAAAACTCCTAATTTAGCTGTCTAATTTTCGTTCTTCCTGATTGGCATTAGGTTAGAAAGCTTTATTTATAGCCACTTCTAAGAATAGCTGCAATGAAGCTTGCACTGGATTGGAGTTGTTTTTGCTTTCCATGATGTCACGATGCATTTCTACGGACAGGAAATTTTAAGGGACAAAAATAAGCATATCACTATATCATCCTACCGAAGCCCTATAAACTACAGGCCTTTCATATTTTCACATCCTTTGAATCCCTATTGAGGGAGCCACCACCTGACTTCATTCATTGCTATAAAAAACTACAATGGAGGTTCATCTCCCTAATGTCCCCACGTTATCTCATGAAGTTGGGTGGTAAGGCACTTGTCATTTCATGTCATCATGAAGGCCATTTTTCCTAGTTTTTAAAAAGTATTTATTTGATATTTTGTTGTTTCTACACCAAACAATTCTTCAGGCCTAAAGCATTTAGCTTCTGATTATGAGATTTGTTCTTTTCACGGGCTGCATTGTACCAAATATATGTTTGTGCTACTTCAGTACTTTTAAGGGTTCATGGAACAAATATTTTTTGTGTTCATCCTCTACTTTTCATATTATTCTTTTTAATGGTTGTGAAACCAAATGTGATACACTACCTATAAATTTCCATCAGTCAGCACGAATCTCAGAGCAATTTTTTGAACAAGAGACATTCAAACTTCGATTAAGAGTCATCCGGAGCTCCGATTTCAGCAAAATTATAGTCAAATTGATCGGCTTGATGAGACGGACCTAATAATATGAAAGTTCAATCTGAGTCAAATCAAGCCCGGATCAAATTATTAAACTGCTACTAGAGGATTTCCGGAGGCATTTAAAAGGTCAAACGGATGTCCAATCTAGCGAGTTTATAGTCAAATCGAGCGTCTCAAAAAGATGAATCCAACGGGCCCAAGATTGCTCAATTCTGACATCATTAAGACACTCAAATGTCCATCAAACTTCATCTGATCAAGGAAAACTTTCTGGCCCGTCCGATCAAAATGGTTCATATTCCTGCATTAATTGTACTCAAAACACTATAAATAGAGTCTCAACCCTCACATGAAGAGGGAGGAGGCTTAAGAGAGAACTTGAGGTTTTGAGAAGGAGCTCAAGTCCAAGATCATTCTCGCTATCGTCGATCGCCGTCGACCACCACTGACCGTCGACCACGACCGCCGACCTCCGTCGACCACCGTGTCAACTACCGTCGACCGTCATCGACTGTTGTTAACCACCGCTGACCTCCGTCAACCACCGCTTACTAGACGCCATCAGTCGACGTTGTAATGTGGAAAGCTAGTAACCCTTTCCCGCCTGTGGGATAAGAGGCATTTGTAATCATCAACTTATAGTGAATTTTTACAACTGGGTCAGGCCCCGTGATTTTTCCATTTTTACGGATTTTCCACTTAAAAACTTATGGTGTGATCACAGCTCGATTCATTTTTATCTGAGTGTGTGCTGAATTCTCGTACAACGCTAAGACGATAATCCATTACTCGATCTAAGACGATAATCCATTACTTTATCACCGCAAATTTTCTAGCACGCATCAGTTTGGCGCCGTCTGTGGGAAGGTTTCAATCCCACAACTAAAACATTTACACGGTCTACTACATGGCAACCAGACACAATGTTAGTGATAATGGAGCATCCCGCTCCAACACCCATCGATCCAGGGAGCAATCACGAAGCCAAGGGCGGCATGCTTCTTCGTCTTCCCACCCTGAAACTTTTTCCCCTGCCAATGAAGGTGTTTCGGGTCCTTCAATAGAAGATCAAATGCGTAGAATGCAAGAGTCACAACTAGAGATTCTACAGCTCCTACGCGGGGCTCAACAGCCGTTGCCTACACCATTGGATGAAATTCGTTTACCATTAACTCTGCGATGTATGAGAAACATACCGCTCGGAGAAACTCATGCCGACCCGCCTCCTCAGGAAGGAACGCATCCCCTGTCAAGTCATGATGTTGAACTCTTAGATACAGCAAGTTCCACTCATCCATCTCGTGCAACTCACCCGACATCGTCACATCTTCCCGTCATTCCAGATAATGTCATTCGCAGTGAACTACGACGCCTCGTCCGGGAAGAGTTCCCCTTAGAGAAAAAGGATCGCTTCTACGCTCACCGTAACATCCATGAATCTTCTCCCTTAGCGAATGCGGTCCTCCAACACCCCATCCCAACAGGCTAAGCTTCCAAGCATCGAGACATATGAAGGGACAACCGACCCTTACGAGCATATTGATCATTATCGAACTATCATGCACATTCAGTGTGCTTCTGATGCGCTTTTGTGTCAAGTGTTTCC